CTGAAACTCGGTAGAATAAAAAAAATTGTTTAAGAATTTCATGATGGGTACTCTCGAACATCACATTCGGGGGCTCCCGGAACCTGCCTCTCCCCCAACATCCACTCTATACAAGAGAGGGTGGGCCGCGAGGAGATTAGGGATGGGTGCAGGGAAGTGGCAGGAGTCCTGCCTGGAAGTGGCGATCCGAGTTGCCAAGTTATGTAGGTGGGAGGGTGGGGGTGGGCGGGGTCAAGGAAGGAATATGCACATTCCAAGGTCAGACACCACGAATTGCTACCTGTGGATCGTTGTCCCACTGGCTGCTGAATGAATTGTCTGCACGTTTTGTGCTTAAAAACACTTGAAATTTATCGTCCTACCATTCCTGGAGGTCAGAAGTAAGCCTGAAACTGATCTCACTGAGCTTATAAAATCAATGCTGGTCCAGCAGGACTTGCCGTTCATTTCCCTGGGGACCTCCAGTCTCCCTCTTTGACTGTTCCACCTTCTAGCAAGTTCACTCTGTCCCCGGCCACTCCCTCCATCCATTCACAAGCCGCAGCGCCGGCAAGCGGTCTAGATCTTTCACGTCTCGCCCTGACGCTGACCTCCTCCTGGGTCTCTTCCCATTTATAAGGACCCCTGCGATTTGTCTCGGGCTCCCAGACAACCAGACAAGCCCAGCGTGGTCCTCTCTCTTGCGTCTCGTAGGGCGGTTGATTATGCAATCCTGAAATCCATCTGGCAATGCTTGTTCCCCTTGCCACGTACATGACTGTGTTCTACCAGGTTCGCAGGGGTTGGGACACATAAGCCCAGTTTTGGGAGTTCATTTTATTCTACTGGCTACAGATGCTTTAGTGCTGCTTTTATGGCTACAAAAGATTACACTCGACGTGGTGTTAACAAAAGCACCTCATGGTTTATTGTAAGAATCCAGAGGGTTGGTTTTGATCATGTGATGACAGTAAATCTAAGGGCCCAGGCCCTTTCTTCGTCACCTCTGCTGTATCGAAACTACTGTCTTTCATCCCCAGGCTTGTTTCATGGTCACAGGATGGCTTGCCAAGTAACAGGACATCACAGTCCACAGCAGAAAGGAAAAGTGGCAAGTGGCAGAAATGCCAGCTTCCCCTGTGGGGGGGGTTTTCCATGGCAGGGACAAATGGACAGGACAGCCCAAGCTTAATGTTTGGACCAGCTCCAAAGCTGGCTTTGCCAGCTGGCATCAGGAAATGCTGGTTTCCTAGGTGGGTACCGGCAAGGGCGGTGTTGTCAGTATATTGACGAGTGAGTGCCCAGGGTGGAACCAGATGAAGAGGCCAGTGTATGGCTGGGGTCAAAGATTAGTCCCTGTGGGTCAGGATCAATCAAACAGGTCAATGGTGTGGGTCAGGAATCAGTCTCTGGCTTGAAGCCCAGACGGTCATTCTGTGGCTTGGGGATCAGGGAGTCGATTGTGGCCGGTAATCTAGAAGTCTGTGGCTGGGTCCAGAGGGTCTTCTGTGGCTTGGAGCTGGGATCGATTTCCATGTCTTCTGCCTTTCTTCTCTCACTCGCATCCCTCTGTCTCTTTGGCTCATTCTCCCTTTTCTGCCAAATACCTGTTGGACTACTTCAGCAATTTGAAGTCCCATGGGGGAGGAAGAGAAATAGAGTCCCTGGGCAAAGTCTTGAAGGCAGGGCATGGGAAGAATCATAAAGGCGAAGAAGATGGAAAAGACCGGACCAGAAAAAGTGTGGGGATTATACTATTTGTGAGCTGGTGCGCAATTTTGAAGCTGCACGTTACGCAAACATTCTACTCTGCAAATGTAGGGGAAACACAGAAGCGGACCGTGGGCAGACCGCAAATACACAGGTCGGATGGGTGATGGCATCAGGACAATGTTGTCTTGGATTTCTATCCTTCTGTCCTTTTTGCAACAAGCCACATTTAACTTATTAGAAAGATCATTTCCTTTAATTATGTTCTGTGCCCTCGCCTCCACAGCATGCATAGACCTGTTCAGTCCTTAAACATTATTAAGCATAACGCTTAGCAACCACGTAAGGGCTAACTATGGCAGGCCTGTTCTAAGGCTGCCAGGTGAGTAGCATCTTTGAATTCTCATGGGGTCGCTACCCATACGGAAAGATGCCGCTGTGATTAAAGAACGGCTAGTTTATGAAGCAACGTGGGAAACTCCTAATGAGCCAATGTTAAGTGAAAAAAAAAAAAGCAAACTACAGAAGCACATGCCTAACTCCTCAAGAAAAAAAAAAAAATTAAGCATAGAATTACCATAGGATCTCACGGTTTGGGTATATACCCAAGAGAATTGAAAGCAAGGACTTCAACAGGTATGTGTACACCCACGTTCACAGTGGCATTATTCACAAGAGCCAAAAGGTGGAAGCAACCTGAGTGTCCATCAACGTGTGAATGGATGAACACAACAAAACATGTACACAATGGAATATTCCACCTTGAAAAGGAAGGAGATTCTGTTGCTTACCACCAGCTGGCTGACCCTCAAGACATCGTGCTAAATCAAACAAGCTCGTCATAAAAGGACAAATACTGTAGGATTCCGCTTGTCGAATTCAGAGACAGAAAGTAGAGCAGCTGCCAGGGGCTTCCAAGAAAGGGGAGGAGGGAGTTAGTGTTTAATGGGTAAAGAATTTCAATTTTGCGACGTGAAAAAACATTTCTGGGGATGGGTGGTGGTGCTATGATTATACAACAGTACGAATGTTCTCAATGCCCATAAAAATGCCTAAAATGGTAAATTTAGGTTATATGCATTGTACAATTAAAGCATGAAAAGATTGAAAAATTTAAAACAAGATTAACCACAGGCAGCAGCAGCCATTTGAGACCCTGTCAGGGAGGCTTGGAGGAGGAAGCCCAGAGCAGAGTCAGGGCTGAGCTTTCCAGATTTCCAAGCTGTCTGTGCCTTTTCATTCTTCCTCCTGTGCCCACCCAGGCTGGGGGAAACCCAAGCGATGATGATGAAGACGCTGCTAACAGAGACCGGCGTCAGGATGGCCCCACGATGCAGGTTTCCTCTTTCCCATTTCACAAATGAGGAAACGGAGGCACAGGCAAGACAACAGGGACACGGAGGACCAGAGCAGTCTGGGCTTTGCAGCCCACAGACCCCTGGGGCTTCTTGAGGAATTTGGACACTAGCGCATGGAGGCCCGGGACCAGATTATAAGGCGGTTTTTAAAAAGTCCTATGTCATGAACATTCCAAGAAAGGCCCTGGCTGCCAACCGTTCCCTGGGGCGAAATTAGCTCACTCCCGGTGCTAGTCCTTTGCTCCCCGGTGAGAGGGGCAGCCACGGCGACTTTAGCCATCTCAGTTGTCGTCACTTCTGCAAGGCGGCTAGAGTCCCATTGGGAGGAGCACTTCCAAGTGGCTCCACTTCCTCTCCTTGGCCTGTGCTCGTGGGCGGGTTATGTTTTGGGACTGGGGAGATTGATGCAAGACTGGTTTTTTCATGGACCAGCTTTCTCAGGGGGTGGAGCTAATGTGCCTTTCAGCCAAAATACAAATTCCCCACTCTGGCCCTTGTCACGCCCCGACCTTACCTCCCAACACTGTCCCTGGCTCACTCCGCTGTATCTGATCTTTCTGTACTGTGATCACGACAAACTCCTTGTGCCTCGGGGCCTTTGCACTTGCTCTGCCTTCTGCCCGGGTTGCTCGTCTCCCAGTTCAACCTGGCTTCATCCAGTCCCTGAGGGCTCAGCTCAGATGTCACCTCCTCAAGGATCTCCCAGAGCACTGTAAGCTCCTCCGCCTCAGATCTGTTTGCTTTCTTCATAGCACGCTTCAGTGTTTGCGACTGCTCCTTCGGCTGTTTGATGTCTGTCTCCCTGGCTGACGGGAGGGGAGGGGCCTCACTCGTCTCACTCCCCAGCCCCAGCACAGTGCCTGCCTGGCTCGCAGTGGGCGCTCGGTAAATGCTGGTGGGATTTGGGGCCTCTCTGCTTCCTCCCTCCCTACAGCAAGTGGGAGAAGCAGAAAGGGTGGGGGGCAGTCTTTCTCCAGCTTCCCTGAGCCTGGGAGGGCGGGTTTAGGTCCTGGTAGGGGGTGGGAGGTGTCTGTGCCTAGCCGTCCATTACAGCGTCCCCACACCCAGCCAGTTCAGGAACACGAGCCGAAGTGTACAACTCGAGTTTCCTTCTTGTAAGATCCCAGGGGGAGAGCAAGGAGCCTCGCCTCCACTGTGTGCACATCGCTATCCTTCCCTAGAGCTGCTTCCCGCCTGTGAACCGCGTGACGTGGGCAGATGAAGGGATCAGTCTGGGCTCCGCACGAAGGAGCACTTCTAACAAACCTCAGGCTGCCTGTGAGCTAGTGAGCTCCCCATCACCTCCGTCCGGTGCACGATGTCGGATCTCCGAGCAGGAAGGAACCTCAGACGGCCAAGCCTCTCAGGTGTGGGGGTCGGGCAGCTACCCAGAGACACAGCGTGACCAGAGACGGAGGCGTTAGGAGGCCCTGCCTGCCCATCTGAGCCACCCCACCCCTCCGTCTGCCTGGGACGCGGAGCTCGCCGTCCCCCCCCCCCCAGCGCCTGGAGGAGGGAGACGCCACCTGGACTCAGCTCTGGGCCCGCCACCCAGCAGCTCTGTGGCCTTGGCAAGGTGTAGCAGCCGCTGCCCTGCCCGTCCATGTCCCTGTGGCATGCCAGTCTCCTCCAACACTTCCGACTCTCAGTCCAAGGACTTTTCTCCCCGAGCGGCTGGCAGTGCTGGGAAATGGACGCTTCGGAAGCAGCCCCCGACCGGCACCCAGCTCCCTGCCCTTTGCGGGGACAGCTCTGGGCAAGCGCTGTGCACAGAGCCCCAGGGTCCCTCAGGGATAAGCGCCAGGTGCCCGCACTGGTGCCCGCGCCTCCCCCGGCCCTCTTCCCCTCCCCTAGCGGGGTTTCCGCGATCACCTCCTCCATCAACCCACGAGCCTCTTGTGCCCCGACTGCTCCTGACGGGAGGATGCGCAGTTAACGAAGCACTCACAACAGTGCCCCGCAGTATGTTTATTTAATAAACAAAAAATGTAGAGATAAAGAACCTTTATACAAAACTCCACTCCCTCCTGTCCCACCCTCCTCCACAGAGACCAGGTGAAAGACGACCTTCTGGACGCACAGACACCCGGCCCAAGGCGCCCACGCCTTCCCCAGCACGCACTGGCCGACGCAGGGCGGCGGTGCCCGGTGTCTGCCTTCCGGGCGTGCTCTCGCGACACGAACCACTTCCTTATGGCTCCTCCTGGCTGCCCACAATGGCGTCCGCTGAGACTGGCCATGGGGAAGCTGGGCTCGTGCGTTCGGGGATCCCGGGCACAGCAGAAGCCCCCGGCCTTACGGCTGTGCGTGGACGCCCGGCAGCAGACTGCCGCTGCTTTGGTAACGGCAATTGTTCACGTCCTCTGTTGCCCTCACTTGACTGAACACCCCGACAGCCCAGATCCTGCCTCCAGCACCAACCCGAGGAAGCTGCCTTGGGCGGATGGGCACCCTCCCTGAACTTCCACTCCCCAAGGACGCCACGTCAGTCCCTGGTGGCTTCGCTGCCTTGTGGGCTCAGCTCCAAGCTCAGCGAGATGGAGGCTGGCGAGGGACGTGGGCGATGGCGGTTTGGTGGACAAAGCACGCCTCGGGCAGGGAGGACAGGGACAGTCCGCTGCAGGGGCTGTGGGTGGAGCTGCCAACAACCCATTCGCAAGTTGAGGTGCCCGGGGACCTCCTGACCCCTGTCCACGCCTGCCGTGGGCACAGCTGCCCACTGCCCTCCCCGCCCACAGGTGTGGCGAGGCCGGGCCAATGCTGGGGGAAGGGTCCAGTCTCTGGCCCCCGTGTCAGGCCGTCACACCTCCATACTGTGGCTCTTAGAGCGTTCTGGAAACCTGCCAGCCTGGCTGCCTTCCAGGAGGAGACATCTCCTGCGCCTGAAGACGTCCCGGTCCTCACCTGCAGACCTCGGCAACGGGAGGGCACCCACCTAGGAAACCCCCATGCAGGGGGGCTCTGTGAACACCAGGTTCGTGATTTTGGGGGTCTGGCTTGAGCCCTGAGCACTGCTGGGGGCAGGATGGAGGGACAGTGAGGACTTACCCTCCTCTGAGACACCCAAGGGCACCAGGGAGGCCAGAGAGCGGCTGGCCTCCAGGGGAACCCCACCTGCAGAGGGGCCCGGGACCTCCTGGGGGCTCCCTGGGGGTGAGGACCTGTCCCCACAGCAGCAGCCGCAGCAGGGGCTGGCCACGGCATGGGCCTGGCCGCCCTCCTCCTGGCCGTGACACTGCTTCAGGTGGCCACACAGGTGGCAGGTGAGGGCCGAGTAGACGATGCCGCTGCCCAGGTCGTCGCCGAGGGGGTCTGTGTCCTGCTCCAGGGGGAGCGGGGGCTTCTGCCTGTCCCCGCCCTTTGCGCCCGGCTCCAGACCGAGGAGCCCCGGGTAGCTGCTGGGGAGGAGCGTGCTCTTCGGGCTGCCAGGAGGCTCCACGTCCAGTCCAAAGGTGAACAGGGGCATGGGGACTGGGGCAGGGGCCCCAGGACAGCCGGGAACGAGCTTCTCGAAGGGCCTGTAGCCCCCCTGCCCACTGCTGGCCTCGAGTCCAGACGCAGCACTGCTGGTGAGCAGGCTGGAGAAGGCCTTGTACCCGGCCTCTCCCGGGGGGCCCAAGCCCGCCACCCCCCTGTCCTGGGTGCCGCCCTGCTCCGCCGCCTGCGCGAACTCCCGATAGCCACTGCTGACGGCGGGGGCGGGGGCCGAGGCCGCCCCGTGCTGCAGGACGCTCCGGCGGAGGATCTGCTCCCAGGATTCTGGCTCGGGCGGGAGCCCGCCGGGTGGCTCAGAGGGCTGGGGGACACGGAGGATGCTGGGCTCCACCTGCCCCGGGTGCCCGGCCAGCTGCGGGTCTGCGTCAGGTTCGCTAGGACTTGGGGACGGGCTCAGGGAGCTGCCGAAGCTGCGGTAAGCGGGGTTGTCCGCAATGACAACCGGCATCCGTGTGTGAGCCTGGCTGGCCACAGGGTGTGGCTGCAGGTTGCAAGGCTGCTCCTCGCCCCAGGAAGGCGTCTCCCCGAGCTCCGCCCCGGGCGTCTGAGCACTCTCGCTTCCCAAAGGGGGAGGCAGGCACGGCTCCCCCAGGCCCTGCTGGCCAGAGGCCCCCTCCTCACCCCCGAGCAGGTCCAGGAACAGGCTCTCTGTCAGCCGGGCCGCGATGCCCTCCCTGCCCTCCTGGAAGCCACCCCCGCTGCTCTCCGGCGACGTGCAGAAGCTCCCTTTGTCTTCCTCCACCTCCTCCTCCTTGCTGTCCACCGGGGCCTCGGACACCTCCACGCATGGCACCACGCAGATGCTCTCTGGCCAGAGCACCGTCCTGCTGACCTCCACGGGCTGCCACACTGCCTTCCCAGGGCCCGGCAAAGGCTCCTTTCGGGCAGCCTTGGGGGAATCCTCCTCCCTTTTCATGCCGTTCTCCAGCAAACAGGGCAGGAGCTTGGTAAGACAAGTCTTCCAGTGTCTGCAAAAGCAAACAAAAGTTTGGTCAGGGTTCAGTTTTGACACTTGAAAAACTCCTACTCATCCTTCAAAGCCCAGCTTGAGATCATCCTATACCAATGTCTATCTATTGCAGACGTGCCTCCTGGCTTTATAATCAATAATCTATCAGTCTATCTTCATTGCTTGACTGGGAACTCCTTGAGGACTGGATCTGTGTCTTACTTTGGGATTTCTGGAGCCCAGCGCATGGCCTGCCACCAGATTCAAACTCAGTGTATCGAATAAGGACGCATCTTTATCAGGGATGGTGATATTTAAAAGCAACATCATGCCATAAGCCACAACCAGGTAGCATGGATGTGGGGTCCTAGGGCTGAAGGAGGGTCCCAGAGCCCCGTGCTGTGCCACGTGTAAACCCCTTAATTACGGGACTGTTGGTGGGTCCAGGAGGCCAAGGCAGGTGCCAAGGAGGCCAGAGTGGTGTTGGCACACTGGAGGGTTCTGGACAGTGGCTGCTTGCCAATGAGCATACAGTTAGGTCCATATTTTAACAGCTGGCAGAGCTGCCCTGTTGTTAGCTGCACCGGCCTTGCTCAGGCTGGGCGGGCACTCCCAAGGGCGTTCGGCAGTGTCCCGCCCGCCAGTGAAAGGCAGGGGCTCAGCCGGCAGCCCACCTCCCCACATCATCCCCTCCCGCCACCCCTCGAAGCCCAATGTCACAGGACAACGGCCAAATGCCAGGGAGGAGGAGGCAGAGAGGGCGGGGCTGGGGGGCCCATCTCCCCAGTTCTGTCGTGCAGGCTGTGACCGAAGTTCAGATACGTACGGGCACTTGGCTGGCTCCTGGCCTCGGGACCGCCTCTCCCACGGCGACACCTGAAACGCAGAGACAGCAGCAGGTGACACAGAGCAAAGCGGCCCTCCGGCCCGGCCAGGCGCGGCCGTGCTCAGGAAGCGTTTGCCGGGGACCGGCCACAGGTCTCGCTGACACCACGCAGGTCTGAGGTCCAGACAGGTCGCTCACACTCTCGGAGCCCCAGTTTCCAGGGATAATCAACAACACCGTGCTAATGTTAACATTCGCTGTGGCCGATGGCAACGACGGGCGCCGTGCTCTGCAGCTGCTCCCACCGCTTGGCTCTCACCCGGCCATGGGACTTGTGTCGACCAGTGCAGAGCCGTGGAGGTGACAGCGAGCCAGATCTGGGCCTAGGCCTCAAGAGACCTTGCGACTCCCCACCCTTGAGAACTGGACACCCCAGGAACAGGCCTGGGCCGGCCTGCCGGAGAGCAACCTCTGCCGTTCCGGAAGCCAGTGAACGCCCCCCATACCCCCATGCTCCGGAGCACATCGCACAGCGCCCGGCCCGCACGCCCTCCTACCTGCGCATCTTGGATGATGATCGCCATGAGCGGGCTGTGCGCTGGGTTGGGAATCTGGTCCCACCATTCCTTCTTAATCCTGAGAAACAAAAGGCAAAGGTGTTGGTCTCTAAGGTATCGACGGGTTAACGCTCTTCCCATAAAAACTGTCATTGTCATTAGCGCTGATTAGGCGCCAGAGGCCACGCCGACGAGCTTTGCCTCCTGGACCACTGAATCCTCACACTAACCTGGGGAAATGGATTCCATTGCTAGCCCCATTCTACAGACGAGGAGACTGAGGCCCCAAGAGGTGAAGGGACAGCTGGCAGGTGGCAGAGCCAGGTTCGCACCCCAGCATTCTGCTACACAGGGGGAGCTCCCGATGAGGCCACCTCTGTCCCCAGTGGGAGGGAGGCTCCAGGTCATGAGAGAGGCTCGAACTGCAGGGAGAAAGTTCTGGGTTTCCCCCTGACAATTCCCTCTGTGCGGCAGCTGAGGACAAACTCCCAGGGACAGGCCTAGGATGGCCTGAGGATCAGGGACCCACAGAGAAACAGACTCCTCCTGTCTTCCTGGGCCCCCCGGAGCCACAGTGCACCATCGCTGGGAGGGAAGGTCCCAGACGGCCGCGGGTAGCCTCCACCACTTTGCTGGTCCACACATATTTACTGAGCACCTACTATGTTCCGCTCACTGTGCCAGGCCCTGGGGCCACAGCAGCGAACAAGACAAAGGTCCCTGCCCTTGTGGAGCCAACCCTGAAGAGGGGGGAGACGGATGACTGACACAGAAACGACCGCATGAGGTCACTCGTCATGGCAATAAGTGCCATGAGTAAAGACGAAGGGGTGGAGAGGGATGGGGTGTGACCAGGGAAAGCCACTGCCCCCGCCCCCAACCCTTTACTGTGGTCCGGCCCCTTACGACTGGTGAAGCGTGTTCTCATGGGGACTTTCAACCAGCCGGGGAGGGGGCCGGGGCTCCGGGTTTCAGCAACTTGCCAGTCACCAGCTACCAAGCACCAAGGCCAGGACTCAAACCCAGGCCTCCTGACTCCACCGGGGCGACTGTCTTGGGTTCCTCTGGCTCCTGCCACTGGCCCCGAGTGCCTGATTCACAGCCCAGGCAACTGGGGTGACAAGGGGACACGGCACAACTCCATCTCCCTGGGCCCAAGGGAGGGCCCTTCCCCCAACTCCCCCCCCCCCCAGCTCACTGTCCCTAGTCGGGGCCCAGCTCAAACTCTCCTCCCTCCGAGAGGCCTTCCCTGGCCTCCCTCCAGAGAGCCTTCCGGAACCTCTCTCCTCCCCTTCGCCCTGGTCTGTGTCCTCTGGAGCACGGGCCGCTGTGCAAAACCATCTGTCAGCGACTCATGTGGCATTTTCTGTTTCCCCACGAGGATGCAGGTTTTAGGGACACAGAGTCCTTGTCACTCTCATTCACAGCTCTGCCCTCGAGGCTTGGCACGTGGCAGCTGCTCAACAAACGTGACAGGCCACCAGTGGACAGCTCAGAGGGGAGCCCGCTCCCGCCCCGCGCCCCGGGGGGCCGGCTCGGTGGCCGCGGAGCCCGGGACTCACTTGATGATGCTGCAGTAGCAGGACAGGCAGATGACCAGGATGACGGCGCAGGAGACGCTGACGCCCAGCGGGAGGCGCTGCTCAAAGGGCTCCTCGTAGGCTGGAAGGCGAGCGGACGCCATGAGCCGGGGCCACTTCCCAGAGCTGGAGACCCGGGTCTGGCCCTCCCCGAGACCTCCAGGGCCTGGCCACGGCCCACGCCTGCTGCCTCCCCTCCCCCACGCCCCCTCCTGCACACGAGCCCTCGCCCCACTGTCCCCTGCTCCTCCACAGCTCAGCGCCGCCTCCATCTCGCACGTGCTGCTCCCTGTTTCCCGCAGCACAGAGGCCGCGTGCATTTCCCGGCCTCCCTTGCAGCTCCTTCCCGTCATCAGAATTTGAGAGGAGGAAGTGATGCGCGTCATGTCGGGCTTCCTGCTGTCCCCAAGCAGGTGTGGCCTCCACGCCCCTGTGCCCCGGACCGCACCCTGGCAGGGCCCCAGAGCACGGATTCTTAACCTGGGGCCCGCGGGCCTGCAGTGTGGCTGCAGATCCACTCAGGGGGCTGGGGACTTGGGAGGGAAAGAAATGGCATCTTTGTTGTCCCCTCTGACACCTAGCACCTCCTTGCACTGAGAACGGAGGGGCGAGCCTCGTAGGCGACTCTGAGCAGCACGAGTGACCCTGTCCCCAACCAAGATCACAGCTGTTCTCGGATCACACGACAGCGGCAGCATCACAAAATATCACTCACGCTCAGAGCGCTACCACTAGACCTTGTCATTTGCCAAGCACACGTATTCCTAGACAGAAAACGTGTTTGAAATATTTTTATAACTCCATTGCAACATAATCAGTTTCCCTTGTAATCCTACGCATCTTATTTTATGACGGACAGAGCTCTGCTCTCCCAATTTCCACGGGGACGAAAACCACCGACAAACTGGCAACGTTCACGCTCGACTGCGACACGAGCGAGAATATATTCCCGTAGCGTTAAGCCGTGGAAATCGGGGAACTGCTTGTGACCGCGGCCTAGCCTGCCCACGCTGACCGACACACTCTGGTGTCATTAGTACCCGCTATTGGCAGTCAGAGGCCCCGTGACACGAAAACCCGGAGACTCAGTCGGGGGAGGTGTCTGGCCACAGAGTAAAAACTGGGAGGCGGCGACACTGTTCGGGACACCCGGTACTCACAGTTAAGCCACGGGGCGCCGGGGCTCCACTCGCTCCAGGTGCCGTTGTAGCTCTGCGCCCAGGCCCTCACCCGCGCCCGGTAGGACACCCCGGACTTTAGGGTGCTGGCTGCGATGCGGAGAACAGGCTCCTTGTAGGTCACGTTGTAGACTCGGAACTGGTAGAGAGGAGGGAGACGTCAGCGCCCCGGCTGGCAGGTGGCCAGACCCCGCTGCTGGCCTCAGCTGGCCCTGCAATGTTTAAGAGCCACCAGCCTGGGGGCTTGGCGGTTCCCCACTCGGGGGAGCATGGGACGTTCCCTGGCATGAGGCGGGCCAGGGCGGCGGCTCCTATGCTAATTAGCCGTATTACATTACTCGGGCAAGTCCATTAAGCTTTTTTTCTTTTTTTTTTTAACCTTTTAAAAAATACAGTATTTCAAAATATTAAGAGGGTACAAATGTTTTTGGTGACATGGATTGCCTTCGTTATGCTTGAGGCAGGGTCGTAAGTGTACCCGTCACCCAGACAGTGTTCACTGTGGCTGTTAGGTAGGGTTTTGCCCACTCCCTCCTCCTCCCTCACCCCTCCTTGATTTCCACTGAGTTTTACTTTCCCCTGTGCACGTGTGTAACCTTCCCGAGTTTTAGTTTCCTCATCTATGAAATAAGAATAAGAGACCCTATTACCACATTCTAGCTGTGTGGTCTTGTTTTGTTAGAGACAGAGTCTTGCTAGGCTGCCCAGGCTGGACTCAAACTCCTGGGCTCAAGCGATCCTCCCACCTCAGCCTCCCAGGTAGCTGGGACTACAGGCCTGCGCCCCACCACGCTTGGCGCCAACTGGCTGTGTGATCTTAAGTAAATGATATAACCTCTCTGGACTCCAGTGTTCTCTTCCGCAAACTGAGGGTAATAAAAGTGCCTACACGCAGGGTGGCAGTGAGGATTAAATGGGTTAATAGGGGTAAGCACTTGCAAGAGGCCTGGCACGCAGGAAGCACAGGGCGATCTTTCTGAAGCACCAGAAGGGTCACTGCCTCCCTGTCTAACCTTCATGGGCTCCCTAGCGTCTCCACGGTCAAGCCCAGGGTGCCCTGAGACCAGCAGGAAGAAGCTGAGGCTCGCGATCCAGCAGCCTGCAAGGAGCTGGATGCCACCAGGGTCTACGAGCTTGGAAGGGATCCTTCTCCACTTGCGCCTCGGATGAAACCGCAGCCCCGGCCCACACCTCGAGGACAGCCTGCGAGGTTTGGCGACAGAGGGCCCGGCTACGCTGAGCCGGACGCCTGATCCGCAGAAACTGGGAGATACCAAGTGGGCGTTAAGGCCATGAAGTTGGTGGCGATGTTATTACGCGGCAACAGAAAACTAAGACCTCGATGAATGAACACGCGCGCGCACACACACACACACACGCTTGGACAGACATGAGCTCTCTCTGGAAGGACGCGCAGGCCTCCACCCTCTGCCTGCCCTAACCTTGCTGTCCTTCCCTGCTTGGCAAAAGACAGGCAACAGCGGTCACTCTCTGGGAAGAGGAATTAGAGGTTGGGGCTGGGAGAGAAACATATTTCTATTTAAAGTTTTACTTCGCATGCATAAATATTACTTTTACCAAGAAAAAAAAAAGCTTAAAAAACGAAAAGTACAATGAAAGCTGTGTGCACGATAGTTCTCGGCCTGTGACTCCTCTCCCTGGGGGACGCAGCCGTTTAGGGGCTCCCTCTCCTCCTCCCGGGGCCCCTGCAGTTTCCCCGGCTCCTGGCAGCCCCCTTTCTGCTTGTGGGCTGGGGGAGCGTTTGTGGAAATGGTTTGGTGCAAAGGGGGCTGCGGGGAGGTTTTTCAGGACAAAGGAGCGAAGCCCCAGCAGGTGGCAGAGGAGCTGGGGCAGCTGGGGGAGCTTTCCCTCCGCAGTGGGGCTGAGGGTGGGGGTGGGCTGGGGGCAGACGGGGAAGGGACAAAACACTGCCACTCCCTGTCATCTTTCTCAACACAAGCAAACAAGAAGCAGTAGCTACTCGGGTGTTCCCAAAGGAACCTGACACCCTGGAAGGGAGCTGGGGATTGGGAAACATTTTACTAGGAAACAAAAGAGAAATCAGAGCTTCTAAGGAACTACTTGAGGTTGGTTAGTTTTTAGTAAGAAGGTCAGGTGGTCAGGAGACTCCCTCTTGAGAGAAATATCGCCAGAGGGAAAACAGCACGGGGCTCTGGGGTTCCAGTCCTGGGTTCCCATCCCAGCTCCGCGACTTCCCACTGTGTGACCCCGGGCAAGTCACTGCCCTCTCCAAGCCTCAGTTTCCCCATCTCTGACACGGAGAGACCCAGTGCTCCTTCCCGCCTGCAGGGTTTTCACAGCCGGTCACAATACGGGTTGTGCCTAGCACACAGTAGGCATACGAGAAAAGGCAACCGTTATTATCGTGAGCATGGCATTCATGGCTCTAGACAGGCCTGTGGCCACATTTTCTGCTTTGTCACAGAACACTTTCCCACATCCCCATACCCCTCAAAGAGCCCATGAATTTTCAACTTCCAAACCTGTTCTCATGCAATCCCCTCCACCTAGCCTACTTTCACCTTCCCTCCCTATCTAGAAAACTCCTATGGAACCTTCAATACCCCAGGCCAAAACTCCCCATCCATTATGGAGCCTTGCCTAGAAATCATCCAGAAGAATGAGCGGCTCCGTCATCGAAATTCTACAGCAAGTTCCTCATCTCTCTTGTTAGAATTCATCCTGCTCCATGTGAGCCACAGCTGGTGACTGAGTATGGCAGCAGACAGGGCAGGACCCCGCCCAGCATCTATGCCACTGGGTTTAGGTGGCCCCTGCCCAGGACAGGTAAACCTACACACAGCTCCAGGGCTGACCCTCAGGGCTCTAGGCTGATCACAGCAAGCCCACCCCCGGCCTGTGACTGGTTAGAAGGGAGCATGTGACCAGCTCTGGGCCATGAATAAATTCTCTAGACTCAGCTCCGTCCTTGGGAAGGGAGGCAGGGGGTGGGTGTCTCAGTAGCTCCTGCCCCCACCACCAAGAGAAGCTGGACTTCATCCTTCTGCTTCAGACCTGGGATCCCGAGGCCTGGGGTAGCCGTGGGCACCTCCATGCCTGCTAAGCCATGGCCCAGGCACACTCACCAACTCAATCCCACATCTGGCATCTGGGACCAAGTCCTAAACCCAGCAGGCATTTGAACCAGCCCAGTCCCTGCCACCCCTTCCCCAGAGATTCCCTTGGGGAGCCACTCCTACCTCACTTTCAGTCCATCTGGTTTGGGTGGTGCTCACCCAACCTACAGCTCCAAGGGTGGGCATGTGACTCTTCCCTGGCCAATCAGAGCATTCCTCCGGCACCCTCTCGCCTCCCACAGCCAGTGATTGGCTCAAAGACTGGTGCAGGGTTCAAGCCAGGCTAACTGAGCATCGGCCCCAGGACTTTTATTGAAACTCTTAGGGAAAAAAAAAAACGCTTTTCCCATCATGGCTTTGAGATGTAGGCTTGGAGATACTAGTGGGCATATTTGCCACTACACGAGGGAAGAGCCTGCCTAAAAATGAAGCCAACACTGAATAACGCAGGGCCAAGAGCTGGACAGATTCCTGGAAACTAGATCCAGCCATGCCTGAAGGCAGCTCTAGAAATAAGCAAATCAGTAATCTATAGGCAGTCTATAGGCAGTACCCTTCTCTCCCCTCCAGCCCATTCCCGGGACTCTCCACAGGCCTCGCACAGTCCCAGGACGTGGGAGGGAGAGTTACCGATGGAACCAGACCTGCCCCACTGTGTAGCATCTGTGCACCCCGTCACCACCGCCACCACTGCTCTCTGAGCCTCTGCTGTGTGAGCCCAGCGCCCCAACCTGCGCCTTCCCACACCCGGCCCAGTGCCGAGGGGGACACCAGGCCCGTGAGACGTGACTCAGCACTGAACCGCCTCCCTGGCTGTCCCAGCGAGAGAGGAAGCAGCGACAGAGGCCGGCGTGGGAGCTTGCGGGGCTGGTCAGAGCCGGCCTGGGACCCGGGACACAGGCAGGGCACGGGGCAGGCCCTCGCAGACCAGAAGGAGCGAATTATCGACCAGTCCGGGGACGGCAAGGCAGACGGTGATCTCCAAGGCCTGGGTACTACTCCGGAGAAAAGGACGGTGGCGTTCGGGGTGCACGTGTGCCCAACAGGGGAGCTCATCTGTGTCACACACTATGTGCTCTCATAGCCCTATGGGCTGGCTGCTCTTCTCGCCCCCATCTTACAGATGAGGAAACTGAGGCATAAGGAGGTTATGTGACATGCCCAAGATCACATAGCTGCCAAGTGGCAGAGCAGGGACTGGAACCCAGCTCTGTGGGACATGGGGGCGCAGTGTCCAAAGGTTGTCCCTGCAGTGGGAATGTGGGGAAGGTGCATTCGGGGGGACACGCGCGGCAGGAGATGCTCCCCACAACCCGTAGGCAAATAGAGGGCGCCAGGCCATCCCTGTGCACGGCCCGTGCTGTTATTTACTTGGTAGTTTCCTGCAGATCACCCTCCCTTTTTAAAAGACATCAACACACGTTTTAACAAAGCGCCCACGCCCACCACTACGCGTGGAAAACGAGGACCGCCTGCCACGAGGACCACACAGCAATGCCACTAAACTGTGGCCCATCTGGTTTTGTCGGGGAAGGTTCTAGGCCCGCAGCCTCCTCTCTCTCCAGCAACCGAGTCAGCTGCCTCGAAGCTTCGTCCTGACCAGCCAGCAGCGTGGAGGGGAAACTGACAAGGTTCCTGGCTTGCTCTGGGACCTGGGATATTCGCGTGTGCTGCCAATGTGCCACCTACGATCATGTGTGCCCCCCCCCAACTGGGTGTGGCCCAAAGCCCTCCCTTTCAGCAGGAGAAGCAGTATGCAGAAGTCAGTCCCCTTCTCCGCACACGGGGATCGGGCGGGGCCAGGGGAGAAGCAGGTCTCTGGCCACCGAGGTTTGCCGTGCAGCCTCCCCGGCTCCCGCTCCGGACGGAGCCCAAGTCTCCACCTCCCACCCCCTTCCAAGAGGTCATGGAGAAACCCCGATTGGTGCAAACTCACATCCGCTGGGTCGTTTTCGCTTGAAATGTTGACCAGGTAGACGAGGTCGTCACTCAGGTAAGTGTCGGCAGGGTACGGGTTGTTCCACGTGAGCACCAAGGTGTCCAAGATGTTGGTGTGGACCGTGAGGTTTTCCGGGGCCCTGGGTTTCACTGCGGGAGAATCGGTGTCTGCGTGAGGGGCCGCCCGCCCCGCCCCGCCCTGCCCCACCCCGCCGCGCCCGCAGACACGGCCATCTAGATTCCAGAGGCCAGCACCCCTGCACAACACTTACGGGAAGCCACACAGATTGAGGGCTGTAACAGAGAAGTGCGGCCAGCACGCCGATGATGATGTTGCCAAGATGCTACACAGCACTTGAGAGTGTATTAACCACCTTTCTACAGTGCAGGCAAATCGCACCAGCCCAAGTAGCCCAGACTGCAGCCTTTTCACTTTCATCCTTCACGCTTTTGGCCACATCTGTGTACTGCACTATTATTTACTCAAGTATTTTTCTTTATTTTGACTCACTGGTTTTAAAATTTGATGTCTTTGTTAGCAACCATATCCATGTATAAAAACCTGTGATGCATATTATGCATTAAAATATACAAATGCAAACACTATTTTTAAAGTTCATTCCTGGGTCAATTTAAATAATCTCCCGGCCACCAGCAGAGTGAGCAGGACGGGGAGGTGAAAAACACCAGCTCGGGCCTTGAGAACTGCCTCTGCTGCCCTGCCGTGGGTTACTGGCCTTCTCAGAACCACAGTTTATTCAACTGCAAAATGGGGATAATAACTCTCTTCTGGAAACTGAGGCTCAGAGAGGTAATGTGACTTGCCCAAGGTCACGCGGCAATGAGTGGTGTTTTAAACTCCTGTCACGACACCCCAGGCAAGCTACTCAGGGCGTTCAATCCTGCAGGCACCGTGGGTACCCAGGTGAGGTCAGCCGTCCATGGTCAAGACCATGGGAAGAAGCAGCAGCTGTCAAGTCAACAAAAGGTGGAAGAACTGTGCCCCGTTCAATTTTTGATCTTCAGCAAGCATGCCTTCCATCGAGCGTGTCTCACCTCAACACGCCTTCCTGGGCGCTTACATGCAGGAGGTTCAAGTAGCTCAGGGAGAGGCAGCTTGACATGTTACTGAGCCCAACCCCATTTGGAAGATGGGAGGAGCGAGGGCCGGACAGGGGCGGGAAACCCATCAGTTTGGGGAAAATGCAGGCAGCTTCCTCCCGCTCCTTGGACCCGCCTCCCCTGCCCCCGGCGAGCCCCTGCACCCCCACGCCCCTCACCGTGCTCGCTGGGCTTGAAGGAGCCCGTCCACAGCAGCTGCTGCCCCGCCCACAGGCCCAGCTTGTAGGTGTCGGCGCCGACCACGTCGTCCATGAGCAGGTCGCACACGCAGCCCGCGCCGCCGCTGTTCTCAGGGATGCACGTCTGGGTTCTGCAGGCACAGGGGCTGGGTGAGGCCGGGCACGTGCAGGCTGGCTGTGACCCATGGCTGTGCCCGGGACATGCCTCAAGGAAATTCATGCTCTTCCAGCTTCAGGGCCACCCTGACCTGAGGACACATCTGGGGACTTGAGAGTGGCCAGGGTGTGGTGGGGACAGCACACTAGGGTTGTCTCTCCTGCCGGCCACAGCCCCTCAGCACGCCCACCATGAACCCCTCATGTGCCCCTAGCTGCAGACCCTGGCCTTGGGACTTAGCTCGTCCCTGAAACCTAGTGAAAGGGAAGAATCAGTGGTACTAACTGCTGATTATTCTTTGTAAATGACCCAGTCTCAAGTGTTTCTTGAGAAAAACTTGCATGTGCCCAGTGTTCTCTAGTAGCAAGGCTCGTGCGGTGCACAGTGGGCTGAGGCACACCCTGGCATGCTGCCCATGGGCATGTACCCCGCATGCCCGCAGCATAACCCCAATGTGCCACCTCCAACAGCCAACTCATATCTCACAGGCCAGGCCGGGGATCTGCAAACTTCTTCTGTAAAAGGCCAAATAGTAAATATTTTATAGGCTTTGAGGGCCACACGGTTTCTGTTGCAATTATTCAACTCTGCCGATGTTGCACAAAAGCAGCCATAGAAAATAGGTAAATGAACGAGCATGGCTATGTTCCAATAAAACTTTATTTACAAAAAACAGGTAGTGGGCCAGATTTGGCCCATGGGCCATAGTTTGCCAATCCCTGGTCTAAGCCAATGGGCTAAATAAAGCACAGCCCACCTGCCTTCGTGTCATTGCAGAAAACCTCCCCTGTCAGTGTACCCTATGTGTTGGAGTGCCATATAGCCCCAGCACGCCCCGTCACTGCATGCCTTGTGTTCCCAATCATGTCCTGGGCACCACTGCAACAGAACACCCTGGGAACCACGGAATAGCCCTGTGAACCACCTGACACCAACCCCACACCCCGTGGTCCATCCACCATCACAACGAACCCCACTGCCAGCACTGCACCCCCAATCAATGGTCTAGTACAGCGCTTCTCAAAGTGTGGTCCAGGGCTCCACCAGGTCAAACTATTTCCATATAAGCATTTGGTGGAGTCTTCCAGAGGCTACATGACATGTGATGACATCGTTGCTCTGATGACTTGTTGAATGTAGGCTTGCACATTGTGATTTAAAATTTCTCAGCTTTAAGCTCTAATTGGGTAAGTCTCAAAGAATGTAAGTTATCTAGACAAAAGCTTTGTGGGTCCTCACTAATTTTTAAGTGTGCAAAGGGTTCTGAGACCAAAAAGTGTGAGGATTGCTGGTCTAGCCCAATATTCTAGCCACATCCACACGTCCACCTCCCTAAGCTGTGACCTCACCTCTAACACGGTACCCAACAAGCCACAGCAAACCGCACTTGGCAGCAGGCACTCCAGTGCGGGGACCTGGCCAATCCCTGGGGCAAGCCCCTTGGGCACAACCTCCCCAGAGCCCTGGCCGCGGCTCAGGCTTACTCGGACGACCCGAAGTCCAGCTGGTAGGACAGGCGGAGCTCAGCGCTGCAGTTGGCGGGGCTGTCCATCTGCCACTCGCAGGTGGAGACGCTGATGTAGTCGGAGACGCAGGTGGGCTGGAGCAGGACTTCCATGCTCCCTGGGGAGACACAGGGCGCGCTGAGCAGCTGGGAGCCCGACAAGTGACTCGTGCCGCCAAGGCAGGTGGGAAACTGCCCCCAACAGGACCAAGGGAACCAGCACAAAACAATAAAAGCACAGTCCCAGGCAAAGTCACGTGCCAATTCCCACAGAGCTGGGGCGGGGACCAGGGCGGCAGGGTGACTGCTGAATGCCTTTGGGTGCAGGATCTGTCAGAGGGGAATGATCCTTATGCACCCTTATCTTACACTAACTTGCCTGCTTGCCCTTGGCCAAATCAAAGGACACAAATGCAGCCATTTGAGGGGCACCTCTCCACCACTACAAGCCTCTGCCCTAGAGCTGGGGGTGCTGGTGCCCACGCCCTGCCCCTCGGTGCTCGGATGCTGTGGCCTGGTCTTCACCACCCAGGTGCCCTCGTCCTGGGGCCTCTGGTGGGGTTTGGCCAATAGGAGAGAGGAGATGGATGGGCGGGGGAGATGTTGGGTGTCCTTCCTTCCGTCGCCTCCCAGCTGGTCAGTGGCCACGGGGACGGGACTCGAAGTGTGCACACCGGGCGCTGGACCGCCCAGCCCCGCCCCTCAGGCCTTCTCGAGCCCCCGCTCCTCGGCAGGCCCCGCTGCCCCCAGCTCGCATTTGATCCATCTCAATAAGCACATTGATAAGGAGTGGCCTGAGAAATCGAATAAATGCTCCTAGTTCAGCTTACATCCCACAGTGACTCCCGATTCCTGCCCCTCCCCCAACACCTGCTCCTCCCGAGGCCTCCTGTGCCTCAGAAATGACAACCCCGTCCTTCCCTGTCACTCAGGTCAGGGCTCTTGGAGCCATCCCTGACATGCCTCTCTCTCACCAAGATCCCAATCTGCCCTCAAATCTACCTTCCAGAAGGATCCAGAAGCCTCTCATCTCTGCCGGCCCAGGGCAGGCCCCTTTTTAGCAAAACAGACCATGTTGCTCCTCTGATGAAACCCTGCAAGGTCCTTTTTGATTTGGCTGCTCTGCTACTTCACTGCCCTCCCCCGCCCTCCTGCCCATTCTCCCCCCTGCCCCTCCTCCTCCCGCTCAGTGCTGGGCCGCTGCCAAGTATGCACCTCCCCCCCCCCGCCTCCCCCCCCATATCTGCACGGTGCCCCCTGACTGCGATGCCTTCGCTGACCATCCCCTCTCCCCCCCCAGCTCCCCCAAGCCCCCTCACTCTGCTCCAAGTTCTTTTCCGTCATCTTCTAACAGCCTTTGGAATTTACTTATAATCAAGCCATCTGTCATCGCTGTCCCCGCCCACTACAGTGCCATCTCTGTAAGGCCAGGAACTGTGCTTTGCTCGCTGATGTAGCGCAGGACCCTGGCACGCAGTGGACAGCCAGCAGATGGATGACAGCCAGCAGCGGTGGTGACTTACCAGAGCCCGTCACCTGCGCCAGGATCAGGCAGCTCACGGGGAACAGCAGCCCGGAGCAAAGCCGCCCCATCGGGAGACGCGAAGGCACCTGCAGAGAGAGCGGGGGCAGGTTAGTGCTGACCCTCGGTTCCGGCAGGGCTCCCCTCACTCAATCCGCCACCCCCCACGCCCTGGCCGCCAGGGCCTCTGCTGACAGTGGGGTCCTCCGTGTCCACCCAGCTCTCTCTGCATGTCATGAAATGCCACCCAGACCCACAAAGCCCGGAGCTGAGCATGGACTCCCTGTCCCAAGAGACGCTCAAACACTCCTTCTTGGAGAACTATCTCTGCACATTTCTTTGATCATGTGGACCTCGAGACAGCTGTGCTTCCGTGCCTCAGTTTCCTTATCTGTAAAGTGGGGCTAACAATGGCCCCATCTCATGGCGGTGTTGTGGGGATCACGTGAGCCAACACGTGTACAGCCCTTAAACGGTGACAGCCAAGGCTCAAGTCATATTACCGGTATTTAGTCCCTGCGGCCTGCCACGGCAGAAACACTTGAGACTGGGTCATTTACAGAGAATAGAAAAGTATTGCTCACAGCTCTGGAGCCTGGGATGTCCCAGATCAAGGCTCCAACAGACTCCGGTGTCCGGTGAGGGCCTGTTCCTCGCGGATGACACCTTGCTGCAGCGACCTCACGTGGCAAACACGCTGCCTTGAGCCCGGTTATAAGGGCAAAGCCCTCACGACCCACACCTCCCAAAAGGCCCCACCTCTTAATATTATCACGCTGGGGACTGAGTTTCAACCTAAGACTGTGTGGGGAGGCCAGGCCTGGTGGCTCACGCCTGTAATCCTAGCACTCTGGGAGGCCGAGGCAGGCAGATCGCTCAAGGTCAGGAACTGCAAACCAGCCTGAGAAAGAGCGAGACCCCGTCTCTACCAAAAATAGAAATAAATCGGCCAACTAAAAAATATATACATAAAAAAAAAATCAGCCGGGCATGGTGGCGCATGCCTGTAATCCCAGCTACTCGGGAGGCTGAGGCAGGAGGATCGTTTGAGCCCAGGAGTTTGAGGTTGCTGTGAGCTAGGCTGATGCCACGGCACTCACTCTAGCCTGGGCAACAGAGTGAGACTCTGTCTCAAAAAAAAAAAAAAAAAAAAAGGGAATTTAGGGGGAGCATATTCGGACCACAGCACCAGGTATTCTGATTTAAAATTTTTTTCAGTAGTAGAATCCCATGGAATCAAAAAGTGTGCACTGGTTCCCCCAACACCCCTGGTGCACGACATCAAATTCCCTCTAAAAAGCAACGCACTGGGTTATAGTCCTTGCAATGCTTCAAGCGCCCGTCCCTCGCTCCCCGCTTGGGACTCTGTCTTGGAGTCTCACTCAAAGAAGCGGCTCCCAGGCATGTTCTGCTAGCTAGCAGCTAAGTGCCGTTAAGAGTGTCTCTGGCTTTTGGAGCGCTGGCTTCTGTCTCTCTGACATGGGAATGACGTGTGAAGTGCATTTTCGACTTGTGATATTAACATCTTACCACGGGTTTACCAAAACATGAGCCCGCCGTTAAGTGGAGGATCGTGTGTATGAGCCACATATATACACATGTATCTCCATAATCAACGAACTCTCCCCCAGCACTGATGCATATCAGGAGAACGAGGACATTCTCTGCATGGCCACAACACAGCCACTGAAATCAGGAAATCACCCTGGATGCGTCACTGCCATCTCATCCACAGACCCTACTTATTCAGCTTCACTAACTGCCTCGACAACGCCCTTTCTAAGCCCAGGACCCGATCCGGGGCCACTCATGGCATTCGATTCCGTGTCTTCCCAGCACCCAGGTCTTGGCTGCTAAATGCTATTCTGCACCGAAAGGAACCAGAGCTGCTTAGAGAAGTGACTGGCTCCAGAGAGACAGGAAAGTACCCGAAGTTCCAGTGGGAGCCTGGAATTCTTGTGCCGGAAAGGAAGGAAGCGCTCTCAGAACGATGGGGACGTGTCTGGAAAGATGCAGGGACCGGCTCGAACTGGCCGAAATGGGCACAATTTGAGCATCAAAATACGTATTATAGAAATAAATAAACCAAAATGGGCACAATTTGAGCATCAAAATACGTGTTATAGAAATAAATAAACCGGTCGTAACCCTTGGCGTCCAAGTCCGGGAGTCTGTAGTGCCGCAGATGAAGGCGTGGGGGAGAAGGGCAGCTCGCTTTTACTACGGCGGCACCTCCCTGAAAAGCCGCAACAGGCTATCCATTAATTGAGGAGTCAAAACACGCCTTCACCAGCTGCACAGCACAGAAACCCGGCAGAGGCCGCCTTAACCGAGTGATCCGAGCTGACCCCCAGGACCAACGCCACACGCTCTCTGCGGCAGTGCCCTCCCTGAGCGCCGCACAGTGTCGCTTCTCTGACGTCCCTGCCACAGGTGCACAAGCCACGGGGACTCGTCAAACCTAAACCGAGGGACAGTCCGGAAAGGAACCGGCCTGTACGCGTCCAAAGGTGCCACCCACGGGTGCAGAGGACAAGGACAGTGTGGTAGGGTTGTTCTTTCGCAAACTGTCCGCCACCCCGAGGACCTGGGTTTGTCTTGTTCGCTGTGAGTCCCTGGTGCCTGGATGGTGTCTGGCATGTGGCCCGTGCTCACTAACTGTCTGTGGAGCACACTCGTTTTGGAAAGGACGTGGGGCCCCACACGGGCTCCGCGGGAGGCCAGAAAGCTCCCCGGCCCCGCCCAGGGTTGCAGCGAAGATCAAGGGAGGAGGGGTGGGAGTCGGGGGTGGGTCCCTGATGTCGGTTTCCTCTGCAAAGTCCCACTGACTTTCACTCTCACAAGTTCACAGATGCCCACAGCATCCTGTGGCAGAGATAGCAAAGGTGTCCCTTTAGCCTCAATTTTGAACAAAGAAAAACAGAGAGGCTAAGATGTCTATGCAAGGTCACACAGCAGAAGGACTTTTGCGGTAAAGTCTTCCAGAGAGGGGAAAGGGAGGCAGGCAACCCAGTCAGGGTCGCCTAAAACATCCCAGCACCGCCAGGGCTGTTCTCTTTGATGCGCCATGGAGCGCACAGCCAGACAAGTGCATGCCTGTGCACGCACACGCACCCTGGCTAGCTGCTCGGGATGTGTGGGTGCCGCATCTCAGGGGAAATCATGCCACAGACGCACTGAGAGAAGAGGCCTCCCTGCACATCGAGGGAACAAAGGACAAGGAGCAGAAGGTGAGCCATTAAAAGGAATCATTGCCAGGCGATCCTCGTCAAGTGCATGGCAAGAGGAAGTGATTCGCGCTCTGAATCAGGGGTCCCGACGTGTTGGAAACGGTCTCAGCGGGTACCTGCAGGGATGCCCTGCAAACACCCCATCTCTGACATGGTGCCAGTTTCTGCTTGCACCCCTCCACGGACGGAGCACTCACTCCCAGGTCATGGCTGAGCGGAGCTTAACTATTGCAAACAGCTTCCTTATGTTGAGCCAAGGCTTTGTGTAAACAAATTCCTGTTTGTCCAGCACTTGTGTTGTACACGACGCTTTGCTAAGTGCTTGAGAAGTATTACCTTATTTAATCCACCCAAGAATCCTGCAAGACAGGTTGTTTTTCCTACTTTCTGGCTAAGGAAACTGAGGCCAGAGAGGTCAGGTAACTTGCCCACCAGGTCACACAGCTGGCAAGAGGGCTGAGCTAGAATCAGAAGCCAGGTCTGTCTGCTTCTGAGTCCAAGTGCATCCCAATATCGGTTCCTTCAACTTCTTCTCCCGGAAACGCAGGCTGAACCCAACGAGATGAAACGCAATGCGTTGGGGAAGAGCTGGCTACTCCGCTTGTCAATTTCAAACGTCAGTTGCCCAAGCATAGGACCAGAAAGCCTGACTGAGCAGCAGAAAAAGCCTGGAGATTTTATCGTCTGCAAAAATCCCCATGAGCCAATGGAGAGGCAGCAGCTTAAAAAAAAAAAAAAAGTCACCTGAGGTCATATTAACAGAGGTATGAGATCCAGGACAAGGGAGGTGGCAATGCCCAACCACACCTGTGCATCCCTTTGGAAGAAATACTGTTGTGATGGCAACAGAGAGGGCCTGAGCATCTCAGAGAAACTAGAGAAGTCTTTACATGAAAAGCTCTGCCCTCCTACATCTGGCAGCCTCATCATTCACTTAACAAACACAGTATGTACCGCACACCAAGTCTTCTTCTAGACCTTGTGCATATATGAATGCATGTAATACTGCACGAAGCAGGTTCTACTGTCGTCCCCCTTTTCAGATGCGGAAACCAAGGCACAGAAAGAAAGGCCAGTGATTTGCCTGAGGTCGCACAGTGGTGACAGTGCTGGGGTTTGAACCCGGCGCTTGGGCTCTAGAGCCTTGGCTCTTAGCCGCTATCTGTCTGGAAGCCAAAGTCCCTAAAGTTTTGGGGTCACTGACATATCTGAGCATCTGATGCAAACTCCAAACCCCCTTGAAGCGCACACATTTAATTGCACATTCCATTTTAGGAATTCACAGATCCTCCGAAGCCCAATTCTGGATCAAAGGCCCCTCCTCTAAGCAGTGGGCAGCTTTTGAGGGTCTCTGAACATAGAGAGGCAAATGTCTCAAAAACTCGTGCTGGGGCTGAGAGAAGTCTCGAGGGGTGGGGGCAGTTAGCCGTCGCTGCAGACTTGGGTCACCCTGCCTCTTCTCCACGCTGGAGCCAGTGTCATTTTGAATCCCAGCTGAGGCCCTGAACTGCCAGCTCACGGCTCCTGAAGGGCTTCTTCCCTGGGGGCGGGGCAGGGCTGGGGGGACCGCAGATCCCCAGGGGGTCCACGGCTCATCAAAGAGGAGCATCTCTGACTCAACTCAGAACAGAATCCAGGTTCCACCCCCCCCCCCCCCCGCCACCGCACCCCAGGGAAAAAAGCCAATTCTAAAAGAGTACACACTGTGTGACTCTATTTATGTAACATTCCTCAAGTCACAAAACTATGGAACTGGAAAACAGTTAGTGGTTGCCAGGGGTTGGGAAGGGACTTGGGTGTGGCTATAAAAGGCCAATACGCTCTAGCCCCGGCAACAGAGTGAGACTCTGTCTCGGAAAAAAAAAAAAAAGGCCAATACAGCAGGTTCTCTGTGAGACAACTGTGCTGTCCTTAGCTGTGGTTGTAGATACCAAACTTTTGTATGGAACTAAACACACACACACACACACACGCACATGCACACGCGCGTGCACACATGCAAATACGCACAAATGAATACAGGCAGATCAGAGGAGATTGGAGCAAGGCTAGTGGATTGTATCAATGTCAACATCCTGGCTGTGATACTGTACTATAGATTTGTAGGATATTGCCCTTGGGGGAAACGGAGAGGATAGGGGATCTCTCTATTATTTCTTACAACTGCATGTGAATCTATAATTAACTGAAAAATAAAAAGCTTAATTTAAGAAAATGAAAAAAAAAAAAATCCAAGCCCCCTGATGGTCTGGGCCCTCCTATCCCTCAGACTTTTCCTCCTAGCCCAGCTCTGAGCCCTCTCAATCACTCCCAGCCCTTTCCTCTCTCTCAGTCTTTGCACCAGAAACATTTCAGAAGCCTTCCCTACCCCTGAAACCCCATCTAATGAGGGCCCTTCCCTTCCCTGTGACTTCTTATCATTGTACTTGGTTTCTTTCTGCAGCTCTACTTATCACCATCTCTAATCAGATTAGCGAGGTTACATGTGTGAATGTTTATTTTATTTCAGGATGCAGATGACAAAGATAGAAAGATGTGACTGCAAAAATGTTTTCGACTTCCCTAGATCAAAACATGCCATAAAAAAATAGAAAGCAAGCAAAAGACTAGAAAAGGGTAGCAATCTACGTTACAAAGGGTTAATGGCCTTAATGTATAAAGAGATCTTGCAAATCAATAAGATAAACATCTCTTTAAGAAAAATAGGCAAAGGACATAAATGGTTCACAAAAGAAGTATTCCACAGTAGGATGCTGTGAAATGGCTCAATATGCTACCAGCTCTTGACACGCGGAGTGTAAAGGTAACCTGTAATTTCAATCATGTATTTGTCTATATATGTATTGTTTATCCTCCCCAGTGAGAATACCAGCCCCCCGAGGGCAGACATAACGTCTGCCCTGCTCATTGCTTTAGCCCCCAGTGTCTCAAATAGTGCCTCACATATGCACAGCATGGGCTCAATAAACACTTATTAAATGAATGAGTGGCCAAAATTCAGCAATACCAAATTCAATAATCTGGTTTTAAACACAGATGAGGCACTAAGCTTTTGCCCATAATAATTGCATATACTGCTTATTCTGTGGCCTGGCACTGCTCTAAGTGCTTACAACATATCAATCAATTTAGTTCTCCAAACAACCCGACGAGGCCATTAACATCCCCATTTCACAGATGGGGAGACTGAGGCACAGAGAGGTTAGAGCCACTGCTGGTGATCACAGAGCTGGAATTTGAACTCAGGAAATCTCTCTCCAGAATCCATGTGCTTAATTAGCCACTGTGTTTGCTGCTTCTTTTAATACAGTCCCGGAGACCCTGGACTTTGGCCAGGGAAGCCCCACTGGCCTGAACCCCAGAGGAGGCAAGTGACAAGGCCAAGGTCACAGAGTTGGGAAGCAGGCAAAGTCGGGGAAAGCCTGAGCCAGGAAGTGAACAGAAGCACCTGGGCTGGGAAAACACGCCCGCTGGCAAGAACACTCTTAACTCGCTACTTTAAAAAGTTTGGGGGGAGGCTAAGTGCGAGTCTTGAAATGTCAGGAGCCAGCAGCAGTCCAGAAATGACCTGGCAGGGCTCTCCCCGAGCCCAGAGGGACGTACAAGCCACCTCCTCGTCTTTCTTCTTGGCCGAAACCCCAGCTCGACGCGGGGGCTGCTTCTGCAGGCAAGTGGCATGTGGGGAGGAAGCCGGGGACAGCAGGGGTTGCAGGGGCGTCCGGAGCCACCGACCCTGAAACTCCACCATCGAAGCTGGCCCGGAAGCGCAGCTCGGGTGGCGCAATCGGTTAGCGCTCGGTACTTGGAAGCAGCAGCCCCCGAGCTTCCTCCGGCCTCCGGGACAGCTGGTCTGGCCTGGCAGGGGGCCAGGGACACACTTCTTCCTGGGGCAGTGGCCTTCCCAGAACTGGGGTTCCCAGAACTGGCAGCCACATCAGCAGCCCCGCCCTGGTCGGCCAGCCAGGCCAGGCCAGGGCCCCAGGATGGTCTGCCTGCCCGCCCCAGCCCCCGAGCGTGGCCGCAGGCTGGTCCTGCTGCCACAGGGAGCGCGGACCCGCAGCCTGCCATGGCTCCCCAGTGCCCCGTCGCTCGCGCCCTCACGCGCACTCTGACCGCAGGCGCTTTCCAGCCCTCACCATGTGCCAGCTGCCACAGAGGCAACGAGGCCGTGCATTCGTTCATTCATTCACTCATTCACTTACTCTTTTCTTCTTTTAACAAATGTTTGAGTGAGGCAGGAAGTTACCGGAGGGTCCCGGGCAGAGAAGCGGGAGAGGCGCAGCTCTGATGACAGCGGTGCCGCGGGGCTGGCGAAGAGTGGCAGCCTGGGAAGGGGAGGCGGCGGGGCGTGCCCACCGCCCGTGCGGGCCCGCCGGGACAGTGGGGAGGGCCGAGGGGCCCCTCGTCTCGATGGAGAGCCAGGAAGAGGAGCAGACTTGCCGGGGAACATCACGTGCTCCAGTGTGCCCGGGACACTTTGAGTCCAAGAGACTGGTGGGCCCCGGAGGCACCCAGGAGGCAGTACGTTCTAGCACTTTCTAGTGGGCTGGGCTGGAGACAGGTTAAGGGGCACCCCTGTGGCTGAGGCACGGGGGCCGGTGCAGAGTGGGCAGGGCCGCGTCTGGAAGGGATGGGGGAGGCTGGAGACGTGGACCTCCTTCACGGGACAGAAGAGGGCCAGATCCCCCGGAGCGGGGCGCTCTCTTGGGGACAGGCTGTCACCACATGCCAATGGCCACCTTACGGCAACGTGGACACGCGTGTTGGCTGCAGACTCGGCGTCCATGTGGTCAGCAGGGCCCTGGGGGAGGCATCCAGGGTCCTGGAAACCAAATCTGTCTTCAGAAGATTCCAGAGGCCCCAGGGAGGCGACCGAGCCTGAGGAACCCGCGTCCAGACGCCACCTGCCCAGGAGCCACAGCCAATCTGACCGCTGTCACTGTGCAGCCCCTTCATCTCGCTCTGTCTACCTGGCGCTGTCTGTTCCGTGCTGACCCCACTGCAGCGCCCGCTCCCACAAGGCCACCGTCCGTCCCGTTGGCTGCCATCTCCCAGAGCCTCGCACGGCGCCTGGCATACAGCAGGCACTCGAATGTTTGCCGAACGCGAGAATGACCGAACGAGGTCCCCCGGCTGTGTGCGGGGAGCCTGGCCAGTCAGCTCCGACGGAGGCAGGGCTACTTTCCAGCTCTCCCCGCTGGATCGACAGCGACAAATGCTGGCTCGGAGTAAACAGGCTGAAGCAGGCACAGATCTCGGCCAGCCCAGGGGAGCTGACCTCCAGAGAGCTGCTCATCGTGACTCAGGATGGAGAGCAGCAGACAAGGCATTTGGCGCCAGGACGCCGATTAGAGTCTGTCTTACTGACAGCCCAGGGGGCCCCTTCCTGAGGTCTGCAGAAGTCAACACGACTGCCCCTGCCTGTCCCCGGTTCCGCCAGCCATTACAGGCCATGCCCTGGGCCCTTCTGCCTGGGGGGGCTCTCACCCACCCCTCCCAACTGGACAGCTCCACTCACCAGCTTCAGCTTACACGGGGCACCTGACCCGTACTTGACTCTCCCTGACTCATTTAACTCTGACACCGGCCCGAGGGCCACTGCAGATGCAGTTAATACCATCTCCATTGTAAAGACAGAGAAACTGAAGCCCAGAGAGGTATAAGAACCTGCCTAAGGATGCACAGCTAGTAAGTGGTGAGGCCAGCATTCGAACCCAGGCCTTCTAGCTCTGGAGTCCACGGTACAGCGCCTGGCACAGAGAAAGCACCATAAACTCGTTCTCTTTTGATACACATCATTGTTTGCTTCTCCCAGCAAGCCCAGGATGGAAGATGTGGTCAAATGTTCCCCTCTGCCCGGAGGCGAAACGGAGCCTGGGGCAGTTCAGAGATTGCCCGAGGGGATGGAGCAGGAAGTAGGCGAGCTGGAATTCGCCCCAGCCCTCACCAGTGAACTTTGTCCCCTGGGCAAACCCAAAGCCAGGACAATACACTGGCACAGATAAGAACTTCCTCTTCATGTTCTGTCTGTGGATTCGGTAGACATGGCGGGGGGGTAACCTCTGTGGAGTTCTTTTTGTTCTCTCACTCCATGACATTGCCAGATGGACGGGGACACACAGATACGGGGGCCACTCGTGTGGGGAGGGACCCAGAGTGTCTACAATACAGAAGCCTAACTCTGTGCCTAAGTGTGCACTGCCCCCTGACTGGCTGGGAGACCATGGCAAGCTGGGGTCCCCTGAGAGCCTCAGTCTCCTCATCTGTGCAATGGGAACAGGACCACTTGCCTCACTGAGTGGTTGCGAGGAGGCAAAGAGGCCGTAGTTGGGAAGGAGAGACCTGGGACGGTGTTGATGGAGTGGGTGGCAAAGGCTTATCTCTGAGCACCAATAAACGCTCCTCAAGACCTTGAGCAAGTGACAATTGTCACAGCAGCACAGAGGGGCGTCACAGGTACGAGGTAAGTGAAGGATACTGGGCTCAGAAAGGCAACACTGTCTGAATCCACTTATTTTAGTAAAGTTGAAAGGAGACAATAGGTCTTGGGATTGGAAGTCAGCACAGTGGCCTTGGGGGGGTGTGACCTGGAAGTAGCAGGAGGCTGGACATGCTTTGTTTCTTGATTGAGTCACACGCGCGTGCTCGTTTTGTGAAAATGCATGACGCCTCATACATGTCTGTGCGTGTGTCTGTAATAAAAAGAGAACTTAAAAAATGCCAGTCTACCTCTTAAAGTGGAAACCAAAAGCGAAATTATAAACTATTTTAGCGACGAATAACATTGTGAGACAAGACTTGTGGAATGTAGCCAAAGCGATACTCGAAGAAAAAAATTACAGCCTGAGTTAGCTTTATTAGAAAACACTGAAAACAACTGTTAGCCTCAAACACGGAATCTCAGAATGGAAGCTCTTTGATTGACAGCAGCTCTTGCAGACATGGAGGTTTTAGCTGACAAGCCAAATATGGGCTCTAAGTGGGATGTGGCCGCTACCAGTACGATTGCAGGTTGCGTCAACAGAAGTATGGGCTCCAGATCCAAGGAGGTGATAGGCTCCTTCCTCTCTAACCAAGCAGGCTTCAGGAGAGGCCCCAGGCTTTATGTGGGACTCTGACTAAGTGAATCATGTCCAAAGCTAGATTGAACTTGTAACTTCCTGTGTCAGGGAGAATGCCTGAAATAACTACAGTTGTGTAGTCTGAATAAGAGAAAAATCGGACTGGGGTTGGAGGGAGATCGTCACAGCTTACAGGGGGCAGGACCAGAGCCAGAAGTGGAAGCTCCTGGAAAGCTAAGTTGGCTACATCTCGGGAAAGATTTTCTCCCACTTTGAGCTGCCCAGCAATGGAGTTATGGCTTCTGGAAGAAATAGGCTCCGTTTCTAGAAGGAAGGCTGTGGCTCTGTGGGCTTGGCCGGCGGCCCAGACCAGAGACCTGGAGTTTCTCCTCCCCAGAGAAGCCACTCTCCTCTTCTGCAAAGGCAGGACACTCCTCTGGCTGCTTAAGGAAAACCTTACGCTTCCCCCGAGTTCTCCAAAACGGTCCTTGGTGACTAAGCGCCCTTACTTCTCACCAAGAAATGCAGTTCTTTTAAACTCTATCCTCGGGCTGGACAGCTCAGCACAGTGGTTATAAATGCACAGGCTCCTGGGCCAGCAGCCCCGGGTTTGAATCCAGACTCTGCCACTCATGAGCTGTGTCATTCAGGTAAGTCTCTACCCTGAGCCTCGGTTTCCCTCTCGAGGGAGTGAGAAGGACACCCACTCATCTCCAGGCCTCTGCTCCCCTCCACCCCCTCTGCTTTGGCAGGTCCTCACTGCCTGAGACTCGGAGGAAGGGGCTCATTGGTAAAATGATCTGCACAGCAAATGCACCGCCTGTGGAATGGGGCTGGGAGGAGCCCATCCCAGGCCGGCCACATTCCCAGGGTCGCTGGGCAGATGGGTGGCTGGGAGCACGCCAACAAGGTGAGAAAGTCCGCCTGCCTAAGTGGCGGTGGCCTCCAGCCTTCCAGCAGAGTTTTCATTGGGTTTAAACACAGGGTTGAAGACTGGGGACTCTGGAGCTTCCAGGTCCATAGCCCTGCTCTGCCACCTTCCGGCTGTGTGACCCTGGACAAGTCACTGAACCTCTCTGTGCTGCTGAGAAGTCTGGATAAGAATAGTTCCTACCTCACGGGTTTACTACACAAGTCAAATGAGATAATGCAGGTATCTGGCCCCTGCTTACTTCCCTGACCTCGATTCCTACCCGCTTCCTCTCGTTCAATCCCATCCAACCACACCAGCTTCCCTGCTGTGGGTCAAACACGCCAACCCTGGTCCTACCTCAGGGCCTTTGCACTTGCTGTCCCCACTGCCTGGATCCATTTCCCCACATAGTCACGTCTTGTTGCTTTGGGTCTCAGCTCAAAAGCCACTTCCTCGGAGTCACCGCCCTGACAAGGCTGTCGGCTCCAGCAGGGCCCTCGCTTCTGGGTCACTGGCTACCATGTCCCCGGCCACTGGCGTGTTGGCGGAGTGTAAGCGCCCGCCTAGCAGGGTGCTGGCGCTCAGGACACGTGAGCGCTGGCTGCCCTTTAACTGTGCTCGGCAGGCTGGAGGCTCCTAGACCCAGAACGACGGCCCCTTCCCTCCAGGAACTCTGTTCCCGAAAACCCTCGAAAGGCCAGGCAGGCGGAGAGCCCTCCCTCCAGGGCCTACTCCCCCGCTCTCCAGATGCGGGCCCGCCCCAGATCCTTGGCAGCCAGGCCTCAGATTTCCTGGGCAACAGAGAGGAGGCCAGGAGGCCCGCGGGGGCCCCTAGCGCAAGAATGAGTCAGTCGTAGCCAAACCTGAAACCTCAGAGACATCAGCACTTCTTGGAAAGGCGAGAACAGACGCATTTAGACAGAACCGTGCACGCAGAGCGCGGCGGGGCCAACACGGGAAGTGGGGTCTTCCACCCTCTGCGGGTCCCTCCCCCTGGCCTGTTCTTCCCCAGGCCTCCGCCCCTGGTCCCTCTCGCATGGCGCCATCTCAGAGAGGGCCTCCTGGACCCCACCCTGGCCCGGCTTTGCTTTCCTTCCCAGCACCGTCTCCACCTGGCGGGACACCGCAGGTCCTCGTCCTCTCTGGTGAGATCCGGGAATCGCATTTCAGAGTTCAGAATCACTCCAGTTATGGGAAGGTCATCTTGCATAAAACACCAGCCGACTCACGCGGCCCCCGGAACCCGCAGCAGCGATCAGTCGCATTCATGCCCCTGCAGCACGGCATCCGAGCACTCTACCAAGGAGGATTAAGATTCTACAGAGCCTCCTCTTGAGCTTCCTAATGAGTTAGGAAAACACTCCCAGTTTTCAGAGCTTGTGGATTTCAAAATAATAGATACCGGCTGTAGGTCTGTATGTATCTATTTGTTTGTACACTGCCTGTCTTCTCAGCTAGAATCTAAGCTCCAGGAGAGCAAGGACTTTGTCCAGTGCTCTGTCACCAGCACCTGGCGCATACAGGCACTCAATAAATACCTGAAGAAGAAATGCACGAGGAAGCCAGGTGCTGGATATGGAGAAGTGACTCTGCCCCAAATGGACAGATAAATGGCAATTACTGAGCCCCTTCCATGGGCAAAGTGTCTCATGGGGCCAGGCACGGTGGCTCATGCCTGTAATCCCAACCGTTTGGGAGGTGGAGGAGGGATGATCACTCGATCCCAGGAATTTGTGACTAGCCTGGGCAACAGAGCAAGATCCCATCTCTAACAACAAAAAAATAGCCAGGTGTGGTGTGGGTGCCTGTAGTCCCAGCTACTCGGGAGGCTGGGGCAGGAGGATTGCTTGAGCCCAGGAGTTTGAGGCTGCAGTGAGCTGTGATCACACCACTGCACTCCAGCCTGGGCAACAGAGCAAGACCTTGTCTCAAAAACCAAACAAATAAACAAACAAACAAACAATCTCATGGACAGTCTTCCTCAAAAGTACCCATGACAAGCAAAGGGAGTGGGGGATGGACATGCTTGAAGCTCTTACTCGAGGTGGGAGGGGGGCATTCGCAATATAAGTAACCTTAACACTTGCACCCCCATAATACGCTAAAAAAAAAAACAGCAAAGGGTGGCTCAGAGAGGTTAAACAACTTCCTCCAGATCACCCAGCTGGGAAGCAGGGAGCTCAGATTGGAAGCTGGGTCTCCTGTCTTCCAGCTTGTGCTCTTCTCTCTGCCTCAGGCTCAGAGAAGCAGGACAATTTGCTTGAAGACAAAATTTGACAGGAATGGGGCTGGTGTGTTGCTGGATGCCCCAGCCTCTGCAAGACCCTTGAGCTTCCGCTGGGGTGCTCTGCCTGCCACAGGCTCAAGCGAGGGCAAGTCCGTGCAACACCCAGGCAAGCCTCTGGCCTCTCCCGTAGCCCAGCCAAAGGCAGTCTGGCCAAGCATGGCCGGGCAGGTTTCCACAGTGCTAGCCACGAAGAATGCTCAGGAGCATGTCCTTCTTGGTCGCCCCAGCGAACTGGCACAGTGGGAAGGAACACAGGCTGGGATGGAAAGTAGGTTCAAATTCCACTCTCTGTCACTCTCAGATGTGGGACCTTCGGCAAGGCCACTACACACATCTGGGTCTCCGTGTCTCACTTGCAAAATGGGTAGACTACATCCTATCCAACGAGGCAACAGAAAAGATTTATTCATTCAACAAACACATAATGATTACTACACACCAGAAACCGTTTTGTATGCCTAACATATATTAACTCATTTAATCATCACTACAGTGGTGCAGTCACGATTACTTCACACAAATCGGGCAGCTGAGGTCCTGAGAAGTTAGTTACATAGGAAGTGGCAAAGCCACCATTGGAACCTGGGAGACCTGGCTCCAGAGTCCACACTGTCACCTCCAAGCTAGACCTCTTGACAAGTAACAGCACGCATACACATTTATTGTGGACCTACTGTGTGCTGGAAATTGTTAGGCATCTTACAAAACTTGACGTCACTCACGCTCGTGAAAGCCCAATTGTCCAAAGGTGGGGAGGCATGGCACCCAGGGATCTTCTGTCCCTGCCCTACTCCCAGGTGCCATCGAGGGCAGTCGAGGGTGGGAGGCCGTCTGATCCCAAAGACGCTCCTCCATCCTCCCAGAGGGGGTGGGGGAGGGCAGGGAGAGGAAGGGGTGTAGACAAGGTTCTCTCTTCTCACGACTTTGACACTTCACTGCTTTTCAGTTCCTATTCTAACTCTGAGCATCAGAAGACTGTGAACACCATAGGGGACCGACAGCTTCCCATCCGAGCCTGGGCTTTCTGCAACTCTGGGAACGTGTTTACAAAATATACCCGTCCCTGAGTCACTTCCCAGAATCTGCAAACCTGCTGGTAACTGGCTATGTTGTAACTGGGGCGGCTGATCAGCAGATCTTCTTCTCTGCTGCCTGCCCACTGCCTCCCACATTCGGGTCCAGAGGTCCAGGGTGGGGCCCAGGAATCTGCATTGTGACGCTAATGGCTCCCACTAAGGTAAAATACACTGGTCCACACTCCTCAGCACGGCATTCAAGGCCTTCCACAGTGCAACCTGACCCACTGCGCAGAGACAAGGTTCCGCAGGCCAGGTGCTTTCATACCTCCCCGTGGGCCTTGCCCACGCCGTGCCCACGCCTCTGCATGCCTTTACTTCCCATTCTCCACTGCAAAGCTGGCTCAGGGGTCCCCTTCCCACTGCCCTGTGAAGAGCTGGTCACCCGGCTTGTGCTCCCACAGCCCCTAGTGTCTCCCTCTCTCAGAGCTCCCCCCCACCCCGGCCCCCTCGCAGTCTTCCTCCAGGGGGGCTCCCTGAGGGCAAACACCTGTGCCCAGAACAGCACCCCGAACTTAGCAGGAGCTGAATGAATGCTAGTGAGTGAATGAATGGCTTAACCCGTCACCGTCACCCCCACTCCTGGGTCGGGCTAGCTGAGTTCTAAGAGGCTTCCACAGGACTCTGGAATCCTCTTACCGTGCAGGGCACCCTAGCCCAAAATACACCTGAGCCTCAGTTTCCCTATTGGAGTTGAGGATTTTAATAAAGGCACTGATGTCCCAACAAATGCCCTGGGTTCCTAAAAGGTCACTCACGGTGAAGAGCTGGAGAGCTGCGGTGGGTCACACCTCCCAGAGGGCTGGGGGAGGGCAGAGACTGGGACTCAAGTAGGATTAGCGCCAGCCTGGGGGTGGGGGGGCATTCCCTGAATCCCAGCTGCAGGCAAACTACCGGCCCCCTGTCTTGCCTGATTCTAAGAAATCCAGATTTTGTTTAAAAGAAAACACGCCAGGCCAAGATGGGAGGGTTGCTTAAGCCCAGGAGTTCAACACCAGCCTGGGCAGAACAGTGAGACCCCATCTCTACAGAAATTTTAAAAACTCAGCTGGGCGTGGGCCTGTAGTCCTAGCTACTCGGGAGGCAGAGGCAGGAGATCCCTTGAGCCCAGGATTTCCAGGCTGCAGTGAGCTATGATCACACCACTGCACCCCAGCAGGCGTGACGGAGTGAGACGTTGCCTCAAAAAATAAATAAAAAATAAAGCCCAACAGATTCCTGGGTTTACTGAGCCTGAATCTCACGGCAAGAGCCTGGGAAACTGCATTTTAAGCAAATCCCTTGGAGACTCCGGTCTTAGCTGTGGGTTGACAAACACCGTTGAGAGGTGGCAAGCCTCTCGCTCTGGCTTCAGACTGCCTGGGTTCGAATCCTGCTCCCCGACTTTCCAGGTGGGCGTCACCTGGGGCAAGTTACTAAAGCTGCCTGTGCCTCCGCGACCGCATCTGTACGATGGCCACGATACATCGCCCCCACCACGGAAAGGTTACCTTGGGGTCTAACTAGGAAGACTTTCAATAAAATAGGTCCCAGTGAACGAGCGCTATTACTGGGTCAATCTAATACCCAGAGGAGGAGCCCGAAGGTCCAAAGGGCCTGCTTTCCCCGATTCCTAGCCGGGGCTCTCAGACTTTCCCCACACCCCCTCTCCCCAGTCCTCTCTGGCTACGTGAGCGCGGGGCAGGGAGCGCCCAGGGACGGGGGCTGCGTGGCCCAGACCCGCCCTGTCGCCGCCCCACAGGCCGCGCCGGCGGAGGTCTCCGGGCCAGCTCGGTCCGGGCGGCGCGCCGGGCGTCGAGCGCCCCGACTCCGCGACTCCGCCAGAACGGGGCGCCGCTCCGCGCGCGCAGAGGGTAGCGGGGTCGCGGCTGTCCCCCGGGTCCCCGCTGCCAGGGGCCCCGCCGGCGGCCAAGCCCTTCCCCGAGTCCCGATCGGCACAAGGGCCCCGGGTCCTACCTGCGCGCTGCTGCCCCATTCGCCGTCCGGGCGCCCGAGCGGGAAGTGGACAGCCGGGCCCGCGGTGCTCCGGCCCGCCGCGCGGGGCTTTCCTGGGCGCGGGACGCGGCCCGCCTCTGCTTCCTGCGCCCCGCCCCGGCGCCCGGCATTTGCATGCGCCGCCCCGCCGGCACCCCGCCGCGCCGGGGGAGGGAGCCGGGCCACCGCCGCACCGTCGCCGTCCCCAGCAGTCCGGGCTGTCGTCCTGTCCTGGGGCGACCCCAGCACCCCGCCCCCGCCCCCACGGCGCGCTGGCTGGCGCGCAGAGCCCGAGGTTGTCCCTCCCCGTCTCCTCCCACCCCCCATCCTGAGGACTCGGCGAAACAAAAGGCCAGCCCCAGGCCCGGACTTCCCCGACCTCCCCTTCCCCTTGGTGCCAAGAACCCTCTTGGAGGGGGCAGTTGCCTTTGGGGTTGGGGGACTGGGTGACCCTAATCCGCCTCCCCTTCCCGGCCCAATTTCTAAGTGCCAGTGTTTGTTCTGTCTTCCAATAAACGTGTACCAGCGCCAGCTCCAGAAAAACTGAGACAGTAAAACAACCCTTCAGTCAACAGCTAGTACAATGTCAGCCCTGGGCCAAGCCACTGCACACTCAACCCATTTAATCCTCCAACGACCCTAGGAGGGAGTTCAGTTCCACTGTCGTCCGTTTTACAAATGGGGAAACTGAGACACAGAGCCGTTAAGCCCACTCAGAATCGCAAGGCAGGCAAGCTGAGAGAGCTGGGATTCGAACCCGGCTCTATAGGCCACTAGCCACTGGACCCCACAGACGGCCTGATGGGGCCAGATGGTAGGGAAAAATGCTAAACAAAGTATTTAAGGGAACAAGAGGCCCCAAGACCAAAGTAAAACAGAGGGACCTCTTAGCCCGGTGGGGCAGGTGGTCAGGACAGGCCTCTTTGAGGAGGAGACACTTGAGCTGAGAATGTAAAAACGATAGGGGGAGGACTAGTTTAGGGAGAGGGAACAGCAAGTGCAAAGGCCCTGGGGTGGGAACAAACTTAGCATGTTGGGGGAATTGCCTTAAGGCCAGGGTTGCCTTGAGTGCTGGGAGAGCAAGGCAGGTGGACCCAGAGAGTAATCTGACCCCCCCTCCTGCCCTCTAGGGACTGTCAGTCTCAGGGTGGAGGCAGAGTTCTCCAAGCCAAGGACAGTCCCATGGGATCAAGTGCTGTGTAGAGGGGAGCCAGGGAAGCAGCAAATTCCCCAGTGGGGGTAAGGGCTGGCGGGGATGGGGGCAGTGCTGAGGGCACAGACAGCAGGACATGAAACAGACACAACCAAGTGGGCAGCAGGACAGACGCCAGCCCCCAAGTCAGTGACAGTACAGTGGACCCAGTCCCTGGGGGTCAGGGGTGGCTTCCTGGAGGAGGTGGCCTCTGACTGGTGCCACTGAGGATGGATG